TCTGTTTGTTGAGGAGAATCTAAGAAACATGTTGCCTTGAAGCAAAATATTACTTTTATCCCTCAACTTTTTACTCCACTGTTTTCATAGTGTGGTTGGCATAATCACAGAATATTGGAAAGCACAAAGTAATGTTAATGAAATGACGGTTGGCGTATTTTTATCTATTGATTTTTTTTTTTAGTTTGCCTCAGGTAGAAATAATTTTAAGGGTCCCCTTAAAGACAGGAAGCACTGGATCCCTCATGGCTCTATCCTATTTTCCTGTGCAAACTATATAATCCACCAGCTGGCTCTGTTGTGTTTGCTTTGGGTTCTGTATATTCAGACATTTAAGGACAAGCACTAAGTTAATTTCAGCTGGGACCAGAAAACCTGAACTGAACCTACCTTTGCATTGTTTGAAATCACTCTCACGGTTGTTCTTTTAGATTTTTTCTTGTGGTGCTTAAAAAGTCTATTTCAATGGCATGATAATTTCATAAATTTGTAATCCAAAAGAGTACCAGAGAACAATATTTCATAATATACATTATTCTCCATAATGTCTGGAAAAAAAGAGTTTCTTAAGTTTTGGTTCTGTACTCCATAATTTCAGAATTGTGCTCAAAACATGGACAGGAGCTTAAAATTCAGATTATCTGTTTTTAATTGGAGTGCAACGGCAAGTTATGAATTAATGAATTCAAATGAATGAGAGTGGTTATCAATCAATGGCTTTGTAGCGATGTTCACTGTTTACAAACAATGACGTCGAAGTACACACGCAGTTTGGCGGTTGGCAGAAAGTGTGATCAGGACATAAATAACATGGCAAGTAGCCTCTTTGGTTCTTCGCTTAAAATCCTCAAAAACATGATTCCTGAACCCTTAGGGAACCTGTTGGTGCAACCTATAACACAACAACTGACTGGCATCGCTATTTTAGATGTTTTATTAAGTACATATAGAGAAATAGATCTACTACTGTAAAATGAGCCTTTTTGCCAACCACGTCTCAAAACACTGACGTCATTGTGAACATCGCTATTGTTATACACTTGATATTTCAGTCAACGTATCAAGAAATATCCCCTTCAACACTTTCCCGTCAAAATATTTTCTCTTAGTTGCCAGAAACTGCCAGCATTTTTGATAATATTCGCTGATCTTTCAACACCCCCAGAATATTCAGTTCTATTAATACTGTATGTATACAGAAAGAACCAAGCTTCTAGTTTCAGACGCAAGAATTCCAGCTTAATTCTTTTTTTTTTTTAACAAACACTTGAATGTTGGACATCATCAATAAAAACCCATATAATCTGAAAAGCAGATGGATGTTATTTAACATTGACCTGCTGCTCTTTTTTCCCCCAAGTTATCCACATGCATCAAGGAAATTCATCACAGCTTGTGAAAAAGCTTGTGATCATGGAACTTGCCAAAGTTCACGTTTGCAAGGTGCACCAGAATACTCCAAGAATTTTGTTTGTTTGACCTATTTTTTGTCAGAAGAACCGCAACAGCGCCAGCCACCAAGTAACACTGAAAATGTAGATTGACAGAAAATCTTGTTAATGGCGGGAATAGTGTTAATTGAAATATAATGATTGAAAAAAATATAATGAAATAAATATTTTTCTTAAAAAATGTGACATAATTATTAGATCCCCTCAATTTTCTACTTTGTACAACCTCCATTTGCCAACACAACAATTCTTATGTTTCCTAGTGTGTAATGAGGTTGGAGAGGACCTGCTATAGGATCTAAGAACATTCCTCCAAGAAGTACCCCTGCAGAGCAGCAAGAGCCACTGCCTTCCTTGCAGGGAGGCCTTCCCCCTGTGGTGGAAGCTCCAGCATCCCTTGCCCGGGACCAATATCTCCAGGGAGAAGAGGATGTTCAATTACTGCCTCTACTGTGCCAAGGCCGACTGTTGAGAGTGCCTTTGGCATACTTGCCAGCCAGTGGTAAATGTACCAGCGTGTTATTGCTGTCAACTAAGCCAAGGTGGAGGCATGTGGGATGGCCACTTTCATCTTCCAAAACTATATGCAGATATCCCAGAGGGGGTCCAGGAGCAGCCCAGAAACCAGTCCCAGCCAAGAGTTTGGTCACCAGCATTGCAGGAGGCTCCAAGAATTGGCAGTAGCAATGCTGCTCGAGCTTCCATCCTTGTTTGTGACATGTTTACTGCATTTTTCAATGCAGAAGTTGCTTTGTCCTGGCAAGATCATGTGGTCTTGTGTAGCCTGGAGCTTGGAAAAGGGCTCTTTTAAGAACCACTTTCACTTTGTGCCAGTAAGCAAATATTCCCACCATGTGTCAAATTTATTTGCTTAGCTTCCATTTCAATTTGTATGACAATGCATACGGTCTCAAACACTTCCGATCAAATAGCATTGCAGTTAAAGAAACACATCTTTGTTCCAAATAAGCATAAGAAGAGTAAAGATTTATTGAGTTTCTACCCTATCTGATTCCTGAACACCCTGCACAATAAATTGGTAGTCTATGCATGAAAACAAGAAGAATTCCTTTCCTCAAGCCTTTGCAATTTTAGACAATGATCTGTGCAAACCCTGAATTTCATCAAGTAATGTAAACTATTGAATCAATCATAAAATTATGAACTGATCTGTTGAAATAAGTACAACCTCAATTCCACCAATGGGTATGGCGTAAAATGTAAATAAATAGCAAGCTGTAATTTGCAAATACAGTTAAACATGATACCCCTATTAAGCTAAAAACTCATGTTTGACCTGAACTGTACAACCATGATTCTGAATATATTCACTGAACTGAATTCCTGTCCGCACCTGAGTTCTGATCCTTCCTCCTGACACTTCATCTCAGCTCATAATTTGTCAAAACAATTGATAAATATAAGTTTAACTGTTGAAAACTTATAAAATTGATTTCAATATCTAAAACTTGTCATGACAAGTGGAGTTAAAGAGAAGAAATAAGTTCACATAACAATGAGGGTATCGTGTTTTACAATGAATCCCTTTTAACCTGTATTGAATTGAAAAAGTACTAAAACAAAATAAACAATGCTTTAACCCATTAAATTTATTGTTGTTTTGGAAATGAAGTCTGAAAAATGTTCTTGGGACAGGTGCTTGCTTACCACTGTGTAACATAACCTGATCTTTCAACCCCATTGATGCCATATCAAGCTCATTTTTGCCTTTGTGTGCATGACCCCTATTCAAGGATTTATCAGGATCTGAGTGTAACAGAGACTGGTAAAATTATTTCAATTAAGCAGTACACCTATATCATTTGGAATAATAACAAGAACAACAACAACAACAACAATAACAACAATTTTGGGACAAAAAAGTTCTACTAACACAAAGTTACTTGTTTTGCACTGAAATAATGAAATACTGAAAAACAAAAAAATGGCTTTGAGGTAAAACAATACATTGACTGAATTAAAACACATTGACCTGAATTGTCCGACATTTGAGGGTGATACTCAAAACTACTGATCATCTGTGAAGCCAAATATGACCTGCCTCCTAAAACAGCTAAAAAATGAGAGATGTTTGCTTTGGTCTGAATTATAAATATGCAGTGTTTTACAACCAAGCAACTATTTTGACAAATGGTACAAACTTTAGCATCAAATTCAAGTAGATCTTTTTTACTTTTTTTTGAGAGTTAAGATGAGAGGGTCTTATAAAGTACCTATCCCTTTGTTCTCCTATCTTAACCTCTTAAACCTGAACGCCCCCGGAACTGGAATCAATCATTACGCATAAGAAATACAGCATGTTTCCTAATAGTATCATCGTAATGCAACATATCCTCTTAAAGGGAAGAAACTTGGTGAAAAGTTCATGATGACCATTGTTACCTAAACCAAACACAATTCTTGCACCAAGCAAGTAAATATGCATGTAGCAAAACATATGATAAAATAATATCAGGGCTCCCTAGCTAGCACTTCTACTGAATGTGTGCTGTGCATACAAACCATACATCAAATGGAAAGTCCACAGAATCCAATGATATAAGCCTTGTCATTTTAAACCGATACGACACTCAAAGAACAGCAGGCATACACTTTACATTCTACAGCCATGAGCATAAATTTTTCTTACCTTAGCTATTTTGTAATAAAAAACTGCATTCGAGGGTATACATTTGGTCCATTGGGTATGGATTTAGTCTATTGTTAGTCCAATGCGTCTGTGTTATATTGAAGCTACATCTCCCAGTGTAAATGCATGTTTTTTCTCCGGGGCACTGCTTCTAAAGAGGACAAGTCCGTAGCGTTCCCATTGGACCAGAATCTATTTTTTCTTCAGTGATTGGCTTGTGATGCGGTAATTTGATTTTGGAGGTGGCCATTTGACTCTATGGGCTCTGGCGTTTCCAATGAGCCCTCAACCATAATTGCACAAACCTAGCCTGAGATAGAGCCTTGCATTCCCAGTGCGTGAAACTCAGAGTCCATTTTGGTATTTTCGCTATAATTATCAACTAAACATTCAGCAGATGTCATCAAAATAGTTTCTATGGCTCGCTGGCTGACTCTTCATATAGCAATGAAGCATAACTGGATGACTTATTGGAAATAGCTTAGTGGGTAAGTCACTGAGCTATTGTGCAGGTGACGGCCATATATATTCTTGCATTTTGAGCACATACAGTTGAGCATACACCATTGCAATCATAGTTTTTGTGTATGTAGTTGCTGGGGTGTTTGTTATGATTGCTGTTTTTTTCTTTTTCTGCGTTCAGCTGCCAAGCGATATTATGCTCAAAGACTCAGAGCGCAGCAATACACACAGATATAAAGTCGCTAAACCGGTTTGTTTTTTATATTTTCGCTATGATTGTCCACTAAATGTTCAACAGTTGTTTTCAAAGTCTTCATTCAAAAGAATCCATGCACAGTTACTTAGACTATGCTGAAATTTAAGTGCTAGATTGGGGTGCACAATGTATTTTGCTGACTCACTCTTGAAATGTACAATGTGGCAGTAAGGGACTGTCAATTCAGCTAGCTAAGTGGTAAAAGTGTTCCATTCAAATGTGAGAAGTCCAAGGTTCAAATCTTGGTTTGGGTCAAAGACTTTTTTTGAGCAGCAGGGGCATAGTTCTTGCATAAATAACTGCTGAGTGTTTGTTGTTCTTACTTTTTTTCTTTTTTACCTTATCTTTGTATTAATAATTTTGTTTATTTGCTTTTTTAATTGAAAATAAATCTGCTCCAGTGGGGTCAAACTTAATTTCCTTCGTATATATTTTCTTTGATGGGAAAATGCATACAGGACTGGTTGCAATAAAAAATAAATCAATATAATCGTTGAAATAAGATGGAATATATCCCTTTAGTGACATATAAGTGAAATTAAATGAGTTTTACCCTTTGGTACCTGATTAGTCTGAAATGTCAATTTGGAGAAGCCACCTAGACATTCCCGAACTAAAACCTCTCTAATTTTGCTCTGATTTACTTGATTGGAATAAACTTTGGCAAACATAATGGTGAGATTCTGTGTGTAATTTTTAAAGGTTTCAGACTGCAACTGAATCATTTCAAGAGGTATAAAAGTAGAACTTTTAGGTTAGGTGCAAATGAGATCTTTCATTTATGCTGTCTTCCATCTTCATTTACTCTGACTCAGTGACATACACACTGATTTCGGTAGGATTGGCGCTCCTTTATGGAAGGGGTTTAATAACACTTTGCAATATTTTTGGAATTAGGACACTTCCCTCTGGAGTTTCAAAAGCAGACTTTGTTCCCATTCCTGCCTGACAAAGGACTTCAATCAGCCAAACGTCTGAGGTATCTGATGTCGTATTTTGCACTTCATAATCTGTAACATATTTTTAGTTTGACACAGGTACACGTCTGCTGACAGGCCAGTCCATTACCTATATTCTATGATGCAGTCAAACTGCTGTAATACATGCAGAGTGTGGCTTGGTGTTATTCTGCTGGAACAAGCAGGAGTGTCCCTGAATAAGATGACATCTGCAAAGCACTGTATGTTCTTCTAAAATGCACAAGTACCCTTTTGCATCAATTGCATCTTTATAGATGTGTCAGTTGCCCATGCCGAAACAGTAATGCAGCCCAAGACCTTAACAGGCGCTGGCTTTTGAATATGCCACTGAGAACAGTCGACACAGTTGTTTGGATGGTCTTCTTTGTCCCTGAGAAGATGACGTCCATTGTTTCCAAAAACAATTTGAAAGATGGACTAATTAGACCACAGCACTCCTTTTTACTTGGCATCAGTCAATTTTCATGATGAGCTGTTAGACAGAGAAGTTGGCAGGCAGCTTCTGGATGGTATTGATATATGGCTTCCTTTTTGTATGGTAGAGTCTTACTCTGCATTTGATAATGCCACGACAAACTGTGCTCACTGACTCAGTTATTTTTATTATGAGCCTATGTGCTTATATCTATGACAAAGGCATGTTGGGTCTTAATGCAGTGCCATCTGGGGTTCAAAGGTCATTCGCATCCAATATTGGTATTCGGCCTATCTTATACACACAGAGATTGCTTGGATTCTCCAGATTGGCTGAATCTTTTTACTACGTTATGGGCAGTGGATTGTGAAATCCCTACATTCCGGATGGTCAGATGTTGAGCAGTGTCGCCCTTAAACTGTTTGAATATTTTTTTCCCCATGCAGCTGTTGGAAAAGTGACAAACCTCAAACCATCTTGCTGGTAAACAATTGTGCCTTTTGTGACTTATCATGATGTATGCAATCATAACCGAACACTGCAAACTATTCACATTTTTACCAGTAAAATGTTCCAAACAGGGGTTTTTCTGAAGATTCCAGAACCTTTCCAGTCTTTCCATTCTCCTTTTTCAATTATTTTGGAAAGTGTTGCATCCATCAAACCTGCAATTTTTAAATATTTACTAAAATGAATACAGTAGATAAGGTGAAACTTTAAATATTTAATATTTGTTTTTTCTTTTCTGTTAAATGTAGGTAGAAGAGAATTCACAAATCACTTTTGTTTTTACTGTCTCTGTACATACTGCTGCAATTCTTGCGGAATTGAGGTTGTAAATGTGCACAATGAATGGAAGCTTGTCTGTATAGTCCACTGCCAGGCCAAATAAAGTTGTTGTTTGGATTAAATGAGCATGCAGCCATGGCTAAAAGTTTTGGCAAGGACACAAAAATTGTGCTTTGCAAACTTTGTTGCTTCTGTTTTGGTGGTGGCAGTTTGTATTGTTTCTGCATTGTTGTGCAGAGTGATAAGAAGCATTTTTATGCATGGCTAAGAGCTTCATTTGCATGAAAATTAGCTTTATCACAAAAACCCAATTTTCACACTGTTCTAGCCCTGACACAGAATGGTCAGCTACCTCATTTTAGTATCATATCATCAGCACAGGGGAAAGTGTGAGTGAGTACGAGTCGGCTCATCGCAGCCCTTTAATGCTCTTAATTGTTTCCTCCTCCCATCCAGCGACCTTTAAAAAGTATGGTCTCCTTTAAGGTTTGGCGTCTTGTGTGCCTCCCCCTCCAGATGTAACACATTCGTGTGCCCCACTTTTGTGTGTTCCTTTGGTGTATATAATCTTACTTTGAGTCTTGCAGAGTTGCTGGATTGTCCTTTCTAGATGCCCTAAAGCAACTAGTCATTAATTCTTCTTAGTTTGGCAGTTTATCGTCCACAAAAATTATCGCTACCTTTTAGGATATAGTGAAATAGAGAAGGTCACACTTTAGATGAATTGTTGCTCATAAAGGCTTTATACAGCATGTATAATGCCTTCATAAATGAGACATGATGTCTTCATAAATCATGCATAAGCAAATATCATGCTTTGTAAAGGGTAAGATAACATATCCTTATTCAGCATGTGATCCCAGATGTGACAGTGATGATGTCACTTTGCTGACAATGTCACCCTTTATAGCATTTAGTCAGTAGCCAAGTTTTAGCATTAAAATCTAGCTTACTAAAGGTAGCATTATTAATAAGAAAATATAGCTTACTAAAGGTAGGGGTACTTGACCAAGTTTGCAATTAAAATGACTAACAGGGAAATTGCAATTGTATCCCAAGCGCTCAATTGAGACAAAGTTAATACTTCAACTGGGTCTTAACATGACAGCAGCAAAGAATTCTATGGACAGCTGTCTAGCGGCATCATTTTTTTCCTGGGTAATAACTTACCTTTTGGAGCAGGGTTACTGCGCTGTATAAAATGTTTTAATAATATTTTGCACTGCAGAGGAAGTTGTCCGGTTCTTTTTGAACTGTTGGAATATTCAATCATGCAGTTTGTGGCAAAGAGGCAGACCTCGTCAATTCATTGCTTGTAAACGACAGGGTCTTTAGCGGCTGCTTATTTCATACCTCAGAATGATAGTATCATCTGTTTAACACCAGTACATCCACTATTTAGCTCATTTGAACGGAAGGTCCGATGGGCTTATGTTATGGCCTGCTTGTCTGTAGCGACTGACACGGGAGTGTTTTTTCAATCCTGTCCCGTCCCGCTCCCGCAAAAAAATTCCCGTCCCGTCCTGGTCCCGTAAAAAAAGACAAAAAAAAAATCCGTCCTGTCCCAATCCCGAATAAATCACTCCCGATCCTGTCCTGTTACCGTTTTTTCTATTTTAGAAAAAACAGTCGTCGTCACAGTCATGTAAACGATTGTGATGACAGACGGATCCTGTCTGCCCCGCGCGCATTGCAGGCTGAATGACAGCTCAACTTCAACTCAAGTCATAATATCACAACGTGTACTCAGGTCTACTTTGCAAAGTGAATCAGAATTTGGAACAAGCGACATAACGTAGGCTACTGTAGGCCTAATAGACTAGGACAACCTTCAGCCCCCTTGTGATTACTCATGAAAGAAATACAAAACCACTAAATAATTAAGGCTCAAGTACAAGTATAAATAAAATAGTACACAAATGTGTCAACATTTTAAGTGTGTCACAAGTAGAATTAATTAATTAATTAGGCCTTGGGTCATCTTGATTATTTCAGTCTGCATTCAGTGCAGTTTACAGTGTCATGGCCAAGTAATAGGAAAATGAAAGCACTGAAGGTGCTGATGCCTCGGTGCTTTCAGCAGTGACAAGTTTGTCCCTTAATGAAGCTATAAAATTCTGCGTGGACATGTCAGAGTGCCCTAGCTGTACATCTATGCTTGGCATAAGCTATGTTTCCATCCACTTGTCAATCGAATTACCTGAAGTTCGCCAAAAATATTCATGCGAATAAAGGCGGTGAAAATGCATTTCCACCTAACAGCATTAAAGCGAATAAAAACTTGCGCGCAACGACGTTACTGGCTGCTATGCGATCAACTCGGTGTATCGAATAGATTTCTGACATTTTAACCCTTTCGCAGGCAAATTTTGGCCCAGATGCATACCCCCACGGATGGATTAATTTTGGGTTTTTACCAAAATATGATTGTTATTCAAAATAACAATAAAATAACACCAAATCTCATAATAAGTTTCCCATAACTGATGTTTTTATGTTTTAATCCTCTCCAGAATCGCTAAAATCGTTTGGATCCAAGTCACTCCCGCTCTCTGGATATTCAAACTCATCGTCAGAGTCATTCAATAAAGCAAAAACTTCATCCACGTTGTATTTACGTTTAGAAACACGGCTAGAATGCCGGCTATTTGTACTCGTCGATGCCATGTTCACATGTCCCACAATTTGACCGGGAAGTAGTCTCGTATTTAGCGTTTTTAGGAAATCCCATGCCTCGTTCACGGCTAAAAATACAGTGCTGGGTGACCTGAGAGACAGCCAATGGTAATGAGCGTAACTAACAAGGGAATTCCCGCAATCGGGGAATTTAAAGAAGACTTTATAAAACACGTTGGTTAAAACGACAAAAATGTCGCTGTGCCTGCGAAAGGGTTAAGCTGTTTCCATTCATTTTCGCACTGAATCGCAGAACCTGGAAGTAGTGTGGTAGGCAACAAAATTAACTAGTTAGCAATAATGGATCGCGTCTCCCAACAAATGATGATAATTGCACAAGTTGTAATAGTGCTTATATGCCAGCTATTAGCAACATGCAAACCACTATCAGAAA